CAGAAGTTTAAAGTTTTCACTGTTTTACGACTTCCACACCTAAATCAGTAAGTTTTTTTTCAAATTTTCGTCTCACATTTCAAAAAACAGAGAAAGATGAAACAACATTATAACACAACAAAGAGTTTTTTGAAGGAATTCCTGTTTCTACAAAACTGAAGACAACGATTGACCAGAAATGCCTTTGAGACATGTTAGAAGACAAAAGGTCGCGTTACTTCTTCAAAAGAAATATCTCGTCCAAAATTTTTAGACTACAAATTCTGTGCGTCTATAATCCGAAAATGTGCCTTTTCGCAGATCTGAGCCAATGGATTAATCTCCTTTTTGGCATATTTCTACCAAGTTTATCGTTATTTTTTCAAGCTTAGCGTATTCTAGAGCTGATGCCGTCGCGCACTAAACAGGGAAGCCTTTTCAGTCGAAGTTGCCTTTCCACATAACCCCTAAATCACCTTGTAGAGCATTGAAGGTTGATCCCAGCATGCTTTCTTCGCAATTCTGCGGAACAACTCTCAGAAAGAAATTATGAGTGTTTAAAAGTCTAAAGTTGTCAAGCTTTGAGTGGCACAAATTTAGAGAAAAGTTCACAAAAATACCCATGCGGATTTCCATAGGCTGTCCTTCCTGGTAATCGATATACTTGATACAAATTTGATTACCTACTTTCATTTGTTTTTGTAGAGCTTTTCGCTATTGCCACTTATAGCATGACAAATTTTAGCTTCCAAACATGTATAACTTCTTTCGGAGAGTTGTTCCGCAGAAAAGAAAAGCAAAGATGAAAACAGAAATCAAAGAGCCTTCAGTGATGTAGGTGATATAGGTGTCATGTTAAGAGCCATTTTGTGGCGGCTCGGTGGGCCTTAAGCACCTAGATCTACCCGAGACACCCGCACGCTCGCCCGCTTATTACATACGACGCAACCTAGCCTACTACTTTACCTAGCGCGTAACAAAACAGAAAATAAATTACTTATACTTTATCCTTACGATATAAAGAAAAACAAATAACACTAAACTAAAATACTAAACTATTACTACAAAGACTACTAATTAAAAGAAAAAACCTAACACGGGACAGGATGCCCCTTCCGTGCTACCGATGTTGCTCGTCTACAAAACTCTTATGGTAACAACGCTCCCTAGGCTTCACCTTTACAGATCCACAAAGCGTCGCCGGATACCAGGCACGACAGCCTCTCCGCTCCCAACATTTATAAGAACTCAAATCCCAAAGGTTCCAAAAATAGCTCGTCCAGAGCAATTCTAAATCCGACTCAAATTCTAATCCACTATGGATTCCCAATATGCTCAACCGCTACCGCGAAAGAGACATCAAAGGCGGGAGCAAACTGCCAGGCACGAGCATAATAGAAGACAAAGAAAAGATTAATGATTAAAAACGAAAGCGAACAGACGCTACAATGAAGCGCCGCCGCTATATATAGCCTTTTGGCTGGCAACGCGCCAAGCCGAGGAGAGGTCCAGCGGCGATTGCGGCAAGCGTGGGAAAGTACCGTAATCATCGCCAGATAGCGCGGCAGCAACCAGTGCTCCCGGCCTCCTACTCCTAGGAGAGCTCGCATCGCGGAGCCGCGACACACTTCGACTAAAAAGAACTTCCTTGTGAGAACACATCCCAAGCAGTCCTTCATTCGCATTCAAATTGCATCATTTATAAAAAGAATTGGCAGGACTTTTTTTACAACCTAATATTTTCCTCTCCAAAAAAGCTTGTAGAAGAAAGCCCATAAAAGCGATGTGATTCGCTTCTTATGAAAAGCGTACTATAAGTATAGGTTAGTATAAGTATACTGCTACACATTTCGTATTAGGCGTATAAGACTCCTCAAACACTCGTGTAAATTACTGCATTCTGAATGGCTAGCAGCAGGTTCGACACCTCCTAATTCCTGCACAATGTCATTGTTCCAGCTTTAGCTGCAGTTTCTTTGGAGTTCAGAAAGTCAACAGTTTTCCTCTGTGACACTTTCTTGATCAGATCAGCCAAGCCTTGATAACAGAAATGATCAAAGAATCAAAATCTTAGGAATTTATAGCCGCCCTACAATTTTAGTCGAAATTAAGCATGCAAGACACGAAATAAAATGAAGTCTCAAAATTTGCTCAGGAATTTTCTAGAGCCTGACAGGTTATGGACATAAGGGTATGCCCTACATTAACCTGACATCAACAAGTCCGGCAAGGAGACAAGTCATGTTGCGCATGGGAGCTCAATGAGGTTCTTTGAGCAACCCCCACTGAGACAGTCTCTTTGATCTAAATCCAAGTTTGTACAATAAAGACTACTTTTGAGGTACATGCGGCACCTTTCAAATTGCATTCCGCAAGCTATTTCCACCAGGTCTTAAAACCCGCCAAAACTCTCCACACACTTCATTCATCATATTTTGCTTTATGAAATAAAAGAGATCCACTTGAAAGACGTGATCAAATATATCAAATGAGTAGGGCAGGTTGCGTAGGTCTGGAGGCTAAACATGTGAATAAATGAACTTATTAGTTCTAGCTGACAAAGCAATAAAAAAAACTGAACTGAAATGATCGAGCCTGTTTTTTTCCGGTTCCAGCAGTTTCCAATGCAATATAATTATACATGGTGTCCCAAAATAATGTGCACACTGTTTGATTCTGATTAACTCTCTTATTATGAGGTCTTTCGAGAAGCGGTAAGCGCCATTTTGTAGAGCTGGCTTCAACTTAGATTTGCAGTATAGAGCGAATCACCGACCGCTCTTCATTGCTGAAGGATTACGGTAGATACTTGAAAGAGGGTTTTGGGCCATGAAAGGCCATTTTGCCAGAAAGGAATCAAAACAGCCTGAAAACTTTTACACTAGGCCAATTAGAGTTACTGATTCCGACTGTAAGCCAACTTATTATGATGCTTCATGCTTCACTGAAGAGTTATGCGAGGTAAGCAGTAGCGGCCATTTTCTTAATGTTCCTAAAAAGTACGGTTACACCGTTTAGAAAGCTTCGCAATCTTAAAAATAGTTGAGTATTGAACTCAGCGTCCCTAAAAACCCTATTACACAAGTTTTCACATCTCGAAATTTTTGATACGGCAGCTCTTTCCACAGTGACATTATATGTTCCAAGTTTCTACTGTAATCCTCAGTAATGAAGAGCGGTCGGTGATTCGCTCTATCTGTAAATCTAAGTTGAAGCCAGCTCTACAAAATGGCGCTTACCGCTTTTCGAAAGACCTCATAATAAGAGAGTTATTCGAAATCAAACAGTGGGCACATTATTTTGGGACACTGTGTATGTTTTGACAACTGCATTAGCAAACAGCTGGAAAATCAAAATCAAAAACTTTTATATTTAGCTGCCATTCCAGGTACCCAAAATTAAAACCAAGAGAATGAAAGCAGATGACTCATCACGCTTTCAACTTCCGAAATCCTTTTGAAACAGTGCTGTGGTGCATTGTCATGCTCATATCCCAATTCTAACATGTTGCCATCTGAACAGCAACCTTCACTGCCACAATCTGTACTCTCTATTTCATATACATATGAAGTAAAATTACAGTGACTGAAAATTATACTTTTAAGGATGTGGCACCTCCCTTATGGATAGAAACTTCTGTCGGTCAGCGCCTTCGCGCTCAAAAAATAGTTCTTGCAATCCCTAGAAATTCAATGCTGTACATTTTAATGGCTGAAAAATAACTTCGTTGCTTAATCTCTTCTTGTTGTTTTTTATCCATTTTATTCTTGGTGAAAGTAGTCTAAAGATCCTATTATCACAGATCAATTACTCGGAATTTTCTACTATTAGCAAAGGACAGTCATGCCCCATTATGGCTAAGTCTCCAAAAGCACGGTCCTTTGACTTTTCGAGCTTCGTTTCATGCTGTAATGAACGCAGAGGTGAGCAATTTGGTATTCCTATACATACAAGTTTTCGCTATTTAGCGATCAACAGCATGTGATCTGCCGTTTTGATTTTGAAAGAAAACGAATTCTTGCGTCCGCGCAAATAAGAAAATTGAGGTACCTCGCTTCATAGCTTCTTTTCTCCACAGCGAGAAAGATAAACAAAATTTATCAATTCTCATTGAGGTGCGGTTTCCAGAGACATCAAAAACTGGACGAAAGTTTTCTACAGCATTTGCGGAAGCTGCAAAAGAAACCGAACTGTATGCTACTATTACATACCACCCAGTAGTATTTATTGTAAGATACATTGAAATTCAGTTCTTTTCAGTCAGCCCACTATTTTGGGTTATGACATGCATACATATACTTATATCTATATCTAATATTAAATTTTACCTTCTCGTACATCAAGATGTCGACAACCTTTATAAGACATCCGTTTTGCGAGACCACTACTCAGTCAGCATTCATCCTGTCATCGAGTTGGCAGGGTGCATACTAAACCATTATAATCTTGGTAATTGATACTAACCATCAATTATCTTTTATACAGAGGGTCACAAGGGCCCGTAGTAATCCACCCTACCTGCCGGCATGTCTTGCCGGCAGGTCGCCCTGATCTCGACCTGAGGTCGCCAGAATTTCCAACTCCCTACGTAGACTCGCAAGCCAGACAAATCACCTTTTTCTGCTGTGACCTCAGGTCGAGATCAGGGCGACATCAAGTTAGTATGGGGATTGAAAAAAAATGCAAGAAATGTCCTCATTTGCCTTTTATTAGGCGCGAAGTGTGAACCTGCCGGCAGGTTCGCGATCTATTTTTGTCGAAAATCGAGATGCCATCTCGCCCTCAGCCTGCCGGCATCTCGCCGGCAGGTCAGAGAGAGTACGAAATAGTGTGCATTTGGTGGAGTGCAACCTGCCGGCATCTCGTCGTGCCCCTACCACGACGAGATGCCGGCAGGTCGCACTCCACCAAATGCACACTATTTCGTACTCTCTCTGACTTGCCGGTATGTTCATGACATGCTGTGATTTTTTCCCGCATCTTTTAACGATTTCTTTATTTTTATTATCTTTTCTTTGTAGATGAGGCATATTTACAACCCCATAATAGGTGATAGATATGAAAAATCGCTGGTATGATTACTGTTTCGATTCTGTTATCATAAAACATTGCTGGTATGATTATTCCGTTTCTGTTGAAGAGAAAACAAGCGTTGCTCGCTTTTTCATTTTTAAAGGCTTTCATTTCACTTGTATGTATTTTTATAGGTGAGCAGACAAGTGGCTATCGTATACCGTCGATCATTATCTCAAGAGACCTCATTAGGTCCTTTGTGCCGTCGCGGATTCGGCAGTGGCAAGGTACTTTTTCAAGTTTTGTACTTTGGTGAACCTACTGTGTTAAGCACAGGTCACTTTATTTGAGGGTATATTTTTCTATTGCGAAGGTCTGTAACACACCCACCTACTCATATATAAGTTTCTGGAAAGTTAATGTGATGCCGAGTACTTACGATCTGTTTATCGTTGGGCCGAAAAAGCTCAAAAAAGCCCGAAAGCCCCAGAAAGAGTCTGAACGCCGCTTCCGTTTTGACGCTAAGGCATGTGTGTTGATTTTGCAACCGAGTCTTTTCGTTTCATTTTCTGTCGTCTGCACATGAAGGTAATGTCAGAATTCTACCATAAGTTCGTTTCTGCGTTCCGGAGTTGGAGCATGATATCTTTTCTGCTTTTCTGCAAACATATTCGTACTGTTTACCGGTTTTCGTTTCTTAGGATAAGCGGAGCTTTGAGTCATGTTGAACGTGGCTCGGAGTGTTAGGCACGCCTTGAATTTTTTTGGTATCCCCCAAAACTTTTGCTGTCCATAATCCCAACGTTTTAAAAAAAGATGTGGCGCGCAAGAGGTTCTTTACAGCGAGAGGGTAGGTAAGCGTGTATGCTCAGCAAAGCTCTTTCGTGATTTTTACATTATATTTGCCTGAACTTTGGCTCGAGGAAACAGTGGTTATCTCGTTGTAGTGTGAGCATCAAATGCGCTGGAGCAGTCGTTGGCAAAGTGGCGAAAGTTCCCAGGCTCTGCGTAATCAGGTATGTTCTATTCACTTTTGAATTGGTTAGTGTCAGTATTATGGACTTTCTCTTAGAGTTTCTGCAGTTTACCCAGTTCTTTCTTTTTGCTTTCTTTCGCACAGTATAGGATAGCACTTTCATCTAATATACAGTTCTTATAACTTTCCGATAAGTATTAGGCGTTATCTCATTCTTTCAAAAACAAAAAAGACTTATGGACGTTTTCATTTTCATTTTTTTAGGTTGTCAGGCCCTGGCCAGATTTCGCTCAAAGGCGCTCAAAAGCGCCCAAAAGCGCTCAAACGCTCAAACTCTAACCTCTCCTCACTTTCTCTCGTCTCTCCTCACACGAGAAAGTGAGAGACACCAGAGAAATTTGGGCGCTTTTGCGCGAAGTCTGGCCAGGGCCTCATATGTAGTTAATGCGTGGTATTATTGGTATTATTCCGATAATAACAACGTGACTATGCATATAGTATACTTTGGACCGAATCGAATAAATATTCGAGTATTCGAATAAAGTATTCGAATAAAATTTATTCGAAATTCGATTATTCGGAAAATTCAAAATCTCGAATATATTCGATATTCGCTTATTCGAAAATTGTCATTTTCGAATTTATTCGATTATTCGGTTATTCGAAAATTTTGTTTTTCGAATATATTCGAACATTCGAATATTTAATTTCGGAAGTTATTCGATTATTCGACATTTTCATGTAATCGAATAACTATATGCTCTATTTGCTGGTGTCCTCTTGTGTCTTTCCCCCTTCCAATTGTGTTTCCTCGCATTTACACGCCATTCCTAAGTCGGTCTCGCCACGACCACCCTGTTTCCGCGTGACTGACTGTAGGTTGAATGTGATTGCGTAATCTGCGCTGTTGCCAACTCGCTATGTCTGTGATTTGCTGGAGTTCTCCACGTTTTCGACCGTTTGCAGGTTTTCTCTCTATTTTCATTTTGTTCTTAGTCCTCTATCCCTCTTCCTCTGGCAGCAGGAGTTTTGAAGAGCGGGTTGGAGGAAGAACGCAATATGCGGCCATTCCGTGCGATCGGTTTGACGGTAGTTTGTGAGCCAATCCATTCTGTGATCATTATCACAAATCAAATGTTCCCTATATTCTCTGCGCATTTTCACAACCCCAGTCCTTCGGAAGGCATGGTGACACTTGTCAAGAAGCGGAGATTGAGATTGTTTACTGAGAAGTTCTGTTTTGAGGGCGTTTTCAGCTTTTTTCCTTTCTCCACTAAAGCGTAGCCGTTCTTTCTCCAACCCGCTCTTACCCTTTTGTTGATAAGAGCTTTGAACATGGAGCGGGTTGAAGAATGAACCCTTTTTGCTTCATATACCACTCGGAAAATGTCGAGTCGTTGTTTGTACGGACCGGCCGTAAATTACGTAACACGCGCCCGCGGCCAATCGCTTGTATTGATACAAGTCGCTATTGCACATATTGTGCTCTCATGACATCACAGCCGCGGCGCGCGTAGTCTGCAATGTGCGGCCAGTCCGTGCGGTCGGTCATTTCGAGAACACTTTTGATGCTGTCCAATTTGAGCGCAGTATTTTACCAGACCATCTTATTTTCTCCTCATTCTCAAACACCTTCGTGTAGTTGTAGGATTTAAGGACATTGTAGGATCTATACTTAACAACCACTACTACTACTTACTGAAGTTCTTTACATGGAATTTATTGGAGTGAATCTTCGTGAAGGAACTACTCAGTAAGGGCATCCAAAAGTACGCGAGTTTATCATTAAGTTTTGAGAGCTTGAACTTGTCTGTCTTTCACTCTTGGAGAACTCCTTTTCGAGTTTGAAAGAAGGTCCTAGTATGTAAACGTCCAGAAAAGAACAACATTGTTTGGACTCGACTTCGAAGCTAAAGTTCGTGCACAAGTTTGAGTGGGCATGCTGCTGAGAAATTGGGTGTTGGAAAAAGGTAGTACTAACTACACCAACAATCGCGCTCTTAATTTTGATGTTTTTGCAGCCTTTGATCGAAACTAGGTGTTGAAAGTAGGTGTGAATGAGCCCCTTGTCTTTACTGGTTTGCGCACTTAAGAGTGGAGGCAGAAGATTGGTGTTCACAGTGGATTAGATTGTTGACTTCTTTAGTCTTATGAGGAAGTAGACCGAGCAGACCCGGATCTGTCAACAGTTCAGAATTATGCATTACATTTTGAATATATCAGCTTGCTTGTTTTTTGAGTTGTATACTACTGGGAGTCTTTTTTTTTGTACTATTCGACTAGATTTGTTTGAATATTCGACATAGTTTATACAAAGTATTCGTTTATTAGAGACTTTTTTTCGAATATATTCGAATATTCGAAATTTTTCCATTCCGAATTTATTCGATATTCGATTATTCGACATTTTTTCATCTCGAAAATATTCGATATTCGATCATTCGACATTTTTGATTTTGAAAAATATTCGATATTCGAATATTCGACATTTTTTATTTTCGAAAATATTCGAAATTCGTTTATTCGATATTTCTGATTTTCGAATATATTCGATTATTCGATTATTCGAGAAAAATTTCGAATATTTCAAAGTATAGTGCACATTGTTTAATCGTCAATAACTCTCTTGCTTTCAAGTCTTCTGCCGAGTCTGAGGTATTATCCTGTGGAGCGAGGTTCAAATTAGATTTATAGTATGGAGCGAATGACCAATCGCCTTCTACTGTATGATTACGGTATGAACTCTCAAACACCGTCAGTGTGGATTAAGCCTTTTGATGAAATAATTTCAAAAAGTCCGAAAATTAGTGTAGCAAGATTTTCAGGCGCGCTGATCTTACTGCATAAGTTCCCACCAGTTTTTTGAGCTTTCTTAATGGCGTACTTACATTTCTAACGAACATTGGCAAAACAGTTGTTACCCTAAATCTGAAATAACTCATGAAAGAAGGTCTATCTGAAAAGCAATTTTCATATTTAAAATCAGCGCCATTACAAGAGTTTCTGGCTTGTTTGTTTTTCATTCTAAGGTAAAAATCACTTTCGGTGGCTTAAAATTCTCCTCGAAGTCCCTACTGTAGTCCTACAGTAATAAAAAGCGACTGATAATTCGCTCCATGCTGTAAATCTAAGTTGAACCTCGTAGAAAATGATACCTCAAGCTCGGCAAAAGACATGAAAGCAAGAGAGTTTTCAGCGATCAAACAGTGTGCACATCTTTTTTGGGACACCATGTATAAAGCTGGGTGTCTGTTAGTATGTCTGTCTGTTTGTTTGTCTGTCTGTACGTTCCGAATAGAAAATTCCATTTCTAAACCGATCCGGCCAAACTTGGCACACATATACTTCGGGGCCGGGCGGGTGCCATGGGCTACTTTTCGTCATCGATCGATATCAATTTGTAAAGTTTGACTTGCGGGGCTGGGAGTTAGCACAGGGGGTAATCGAGCATGCTTATTACGAATACAGTATTAGCTTTTGAAATTATCCGTTACTTTTATCGATTTTTTGCAAAGTTAGGACAACAGGCTGAGAGTTGGCACAGGGGGGGGGGGGGGGGTAATCGAGCAGGCTGATTACGAATACAATATTAGTTTGGCGCCATTCGGCTATCCGGGCCCCAAAATTTTCTTTGTAGTAGAGCTTGCTCAAATTTCGTCTATAAGGATTATCATACATGCTGAAAACAGATATCACACTTTTTCCGCAAAGCGTCTCCCTATGTGGTATAGGCGATTCCCATGCGTATAGCGGGCGTGGCCCTGCAGACATTTGAACACGTTGAAATACTTGTTGAATCTCCATTCTGAAGCATTAGTTTTTTTACTCTCTAGCTGCTAAAAGTTGCCACGCGCATACTTTGGCAACGTTGGCAGAGCTCCGCCCGCTACATTGTGGGGAAAGAAGGATACTATGGTAGGAAATCAAATTCATGAATTTGGCTGGAATTCGGTCCAGAGGGCTTATTCGACATGCCTGATTACAAATATCATACTCTCTCTGCATATCGGGACCTTTTCATATAGTTATGATGGTAATACTGCATGGGATCGAAAACATAGGTTTGCTCTAAATTTCGTCTAGGGTGGCCATTTCGCAGCTGAACATGATTGTCATCCTGATTTCGCAGGATAGCGCCATTTTCCTGGGTTACGGTGGGTGTAAGTAGATGGGTCGACGTTCCAGATTTGCTCAAAACCTGCCTGGAGCGGTTTGCAAGCACGCTGCTTGTGAATGTAATGCTTGCTCGCTGTCATATCGCATTATTGTGAAGTTACGGTGAGTTGCAGGTTTCGAATGGACATTTTTTCGCTTTCGGGCCAATTTAGATCCCAGATATTCACGAAATGGAAAACGGTCGTTTTGCATGGCGGTCCCCAGCGCCATCCTGATAATCTGTCCCAACGCGTAACGCACAGGGCAAATCTCCCCCCCCCCTCCCCTCCCTGTTCTTTGCTTAAGCAAAAGCCGCCGAAGGGTGTATCGCGGGCGGCAGTGGTCCTATAAGGAAAGCATTACGGTCGTGGGAAACCTTCTATACCGCACGAATTGCCTTTATCGTGGGTATTGAGCACTATATTCTTGTAATAGCACTTCAGGTAACTCCCTGCCAAGGTTTCAGGCAGGTTCATGACTTTTATCCGCTGCCATTTACCTACCGCAACTCTGCAAAAAGGTTTCAAAACGCAAAGAGAGTGTTTTAATAGTGGTCAGAAAGTCGAATCTCTCTAGAGCGAGCCTTGGATTTTTTTAGACCAATCCCTCTCTAGCCCCTTATTTCGCATTTTATTTTTAACCCTTTGTACTGTCTTCTCGAAGTAGCCACTCGTGTTCACCCTTCATGTTAGAATAACCGTACTTTACACATGGATTCGTTGATTGAGAGCCATTTATGGTGAAGATATGGATAAAACAAATTAGGTTAATCTCTTAGCAGAACTATCTAATAGTCCGTGTGAGATAATTAATGACGGTAAGTAGATATGATTGATGTCGATAGCACTTTGAAAGACATGGACCGCTTATTTCTGGTAGTATAGGTATTATGATGTAGCATGAACGAAAGTACATTTCTTTTTCTGCCTTGAGTAATAAACTGATTCAGACTGAGTACAAATCAGATGCGAATTTGCTAGTATCAGTTGGTCATAGCAAAAAGACTTGCGGAGGATAAGTTTCGAAGCAGTTTCTTCTTCTATAATAAAAGTAAATTTATACACATGCCTTAGGAGTTTAAAAATCCCGACGAGACAGTGGGAGAGCTCCAAATGCAAATCAAAAAGGAAATGCTTATAGTTGATCTGTTGAAAACACGGCGGAAACTGACGAAGGAGGAGCAGGAAATTGAATGAGGAAATCCCTAAGAAAAGAAGACGCGACCTTTTGTCTTCTTACATATCTCAGAGGTATTTCTGGTCAGTCGTTGTCTAGAGCTTTGTAGAAACAGGAACTTCTTAAAATTAGCTGTGTTATGATGTTGTTTCAACTTTATGTTCTATAAACTGTAAGACGAGAATTGAAAAAAAAATTGTTGACCAAAGTTTAGAAGACTGTTTTCTACTAGAACAGTAAAAACTTCAAACTTCTGCAGAGTTGTCTTGCAGTGGAAGGTTTTTGTTTTCATTTTTCAATGAACCTTCTAAGCAAGTAGATTCTTTTTTCTACGACGGAGCTAGTACAGAATATCACCAACAATGTAACACTCTGCGGTAGTTGAATTTGCTGAACTACTCAGAACGCATAAGCAGTTGTGGATTAAGAGCACTAATACTACTTTGTTCGATCTTGTTGGGTGGACCATGAATGATTAACCGCGTTATGCTTAGGAGTTTCTAACCATCTGCACAGCCACAATTGTAGCGTAAAACGTGTCAAGTTGTAATGAATAGCATTGATAGAACGAAAAGTGCATAGTAGTAGCAATACCATTTGATTTTTTACTTTTTACTCCTCTATTCATACGAGTGACAGTACCATCCAATTTTTCAATCGGAATCCGAATCATGTTTCGATTCAAACATTAATGACGTATATGACATGACAGGATTAATTTTGGGGCGGGTTTTTCATCATAAGGCCAACCATTTATTGTGCGCTTTATTAGAAAGCAGGTAGAATGAAATGTTAATAGCTGAGTGGTCTGGCCAGTAGCCACTTCAATGTAAAAGATGTATAGGATTTATGTACGAGTTTCCATAGATTTGCCAATTTTCATTAGTCCCCTTCTCTTTATATATATTCGAGCTAAATTTGATCCCTCTTTGTTGCTTGTTCGCTTTAAGCGAATTCACTGCTTATCATTTTACACAAAAGGCCCTCTTGGGTTGCCTGTGAAAGATGCTGAAGCATGACAGTCGTGTTTCATTTGTTGGAGATTTCTCGTTCCGTCTCGAAAGACGGACTGTCAGTGTCGTACAGAAGGCATTCCATTGCCACCACATTTAGGTACCCCGCAACTGATCAATCTGTGCTTTGACAGCTGAGTGTGTGGTATCTTTTTGGTAAAAAGAGCAAGCAAGTCTAAAACTTGACAGGTATCGTTTATATCGCCTTTCATTACACTTATTCATTGGCAACTAAAGTAATAACGAAAGAAATGAACATTTATATATTCAGTCCCCAAGATTTGTTACACAAGACGGATGTCTCCCAACTGTCTCCCAACCCAACAGCTATGCTACTATATGTCAGTGATGTTCGAATCGAACACATGATTCGAACCGATTGAAATATTGAGTGGTTTTGTCATTCGTGTGAATAGAGAAGTGAACAGTAAAAATCAAATGATACTACTATTACTACTGCACTATTCGTTTTCGTTCTATCAATGCTCTTTGTTACCAGTTGACATGTTTTACGCTGCAGTTGTGACTGTGCAGATGGTTGAAACTCCTAAGCATGACGCTGTTTATCATTTACGGTCCCAACATCAAATAAGTAGTGTTAGTGCTCCTTTTTTTTCTCACAGCTGCCTACCTACAGTGGTCGACCAGTACAATATTATTGATGGTGGTGGTGGTGGTGGTGGTAGTGATGGTGGTGTGTGCGTGTGTGTGTGGTGTGTAGTGTGTTGTGTGTTGAGTTGTGTGATGTGTTGCTTTGTGTGGTGTGTGGTGTGTGGTATGTGTGGGATGGCAGTCAAGACGAACGATAGCACGCTAGCCGCCAGCTTCTACCGTACACCCTCAGCACGGAGCTCCTCCCACAGCTACGGCGGACGAGCGCGTGCTGAGCGCGTTGCGTATCAAAGGACGCACCTCCGCAGTCTTTCGAAAATGCGCACCGTTTCCTTGCATGAGCCACTGACGGCCCACATTTATCATAAAATACTATTTTCTCTTGTTTCTTTCGGTTTTTTCTCTTTTTTTCTTGTTGTTTTCCTGATTACCCTCTTCTTTCTTTCTCTTATAGTCCCACTAGCTGGCTTACCTGGCTCCGCCGTATGTTCCGAATAGAAAATTCCATTTCTTAACCGATCCGGACCAAACTTGGCACACATACACCTCGGGCCGCGGCGGGTGTCATAGGCTACTTTTCGTCATCGATCGATATCGATTTTATCGATTTTTTGCAAAATTTGAGCTACGGGGCTGGGAGTTGGCACAGGGGGGTAATCGAGCATGCTGATCACACCCGATGACGAAAAGTAGCCTATGACACCCTCCGGGGCCCGAAGTGTATCGTCGATTCATTGACCGTACGGACTGCTCCAGCGCTACGGACCACGCGCGGCGCGGCTAAAATGTTGCGAGAGCACGGTTTGTACTATGGCGAATTTGTACTGGGGCAAGCGTTTTACCACGCGGCGCGTGCTCCGCGGCGATTTCCAGTCCGTGCGGTCAACGAATCGACGATATGTGTGCCAAGTTTGGTCCGGATCGGTTAAGAAATGGAATTTTCTATTCGGAACATACGTACACACATACATACAGACAGACAGACATACAGACATACAGACAAACAGACATTCAACTTTATATATAAGTTATTATCATCGCTCTTTCATTTGTAAAGTTTCTGTAATGTGTTGTTCATGCATTGCTGTGTAATTGTCTTTTGTGTTCACATCGCGTCAACTTCATTTTATTTCATTCATACGCTCGAGGCGTTCCAAATCAAAAACATCGAAGTGTTAGTCATATGAAACACAACAGTAACAAAAAACCACCATGTCGTCCCAAGCCCAGTCCAGGCGACTATGTAAAGAAATAGTATAGCAATAATGTAAAGAGCTTGCATAACATGTTTTAGGGATGCACATGATCTCACGCTTGCAAGGACTCTAAGGAGAAGTACCCATGCCCCCGCGTTTGCCAGCAAGGAACGATCTTTATATATTCATAAAAGCAAGCCGGAAGATCGGCTGGCGGGTATACTGGCAAGCCCCGCCCAACACAGCTTGCTGGGGAGGGTACTGAGCTCCGATGATGATTGGAAAGTTTGCAAATTAAGCAAGCGTAATTAGAGTTAGCAAGCTGTAATAAACTAGGCATAAGTTGTCTGCTAGGCTGGGTTCGAAACTACATGAATGCTCAAGTTAGTAGAATAACAAAGCAGAGGAAAAATGGAATAAGGTAGAATTTGTTGGACACATGCGCTGATTGAGAGTCAGAAGTCCACACGGCTGGCAAGAAAGGGCAAGAACTAGCATGAAGCGACTGGTAAGCGATTACTACCTGCAAAGAAAGAAATCATTCAAGTTCCTTTTCTTGATTTTCCGTTTGAATGATGTAATATTTTCGCAGGCTAAAAGTTCTTTAGGTAGTTTTTCCAGCATTATCGGTGCACGAACAAAAAATCGTTTTCGAACAAGGTACAAAACCGATTCCGCCCACCGCTTGAAGGTAAATAAATAGAAAATCCACTAGTGCTTCCATAACTAGGCTTGAACACCCAGTATTTAGAAGGTCTCAGCATAGTTTCGCCTCTGTAAATCCTGAATGCAAGTACTAGATCATGAATAACTCTCCGATATGAAAGGTATTCAAGACCTAGTGTCTTCAAACGATCGCCATAATGCGGGAGCAAACGTGGATATGCTGGGTTAGGAAAACAATGGTAATAGAGAAGTTTGGTAAAAAACCTTCTGAATGTTCTCCAGGCTATCTTTGTGCTTCCTAAGAGAGGGGCTCCATACAGGACATGCATATTCCAAAATAGGAATTACGAATGCTTTTAATATTACGGAAAATAATGTACAATTCTGAATATGCACGTGATGTAATGGAAGCGACTTGTAAATCCGGTCTTAGGGTGCTATCTAATAGAGTTCCCAAATCTTTCACGGAACTTTTATTGGCTAGAGTCACTCCAGCATACTCATAATGCGCCACATCTTGACCACCAACGTGAAACACAACACTTTTGTTTACATTCATTGAAATGTCCCAACATGAGCACCAATCGACCATGAGGTCAATGGCCCGTTGTAAGGCATCTTTAACAATTGTGCGGTTTTCAATGTTGTAGGCGCAGTAGATTTTTATGTCGTCGGAGTACATAACCACATGAACATCAGGATGAGTTCTCAGTATTCTGGGTAACTCCGCGGTATAGATAATGAAAAGAGGGAGTGAGAGAGCACCTCCCTGAGGAAGCCCACTTATGCATGGAAAACGATCAGAATGTTCCTTACCAACACGAACAGTCAATCTTGAGTGAAGATAAAACCTAAGCAATTCTAATAGATCTCCTTTGATTCCATAATGCTCCAACTTATAAAGCAGTTTATCATGACTTATGCGGTCGAAAACTTCAGATAAATCGAAATATATCACATCCACTTCATTACCATCAAGTATAGCCTTGATCCAGTCATGACTACAAACGATCAGATGTGTAAGGCCCCGGGCAGACTTCACGCGATTTGATCGTCGCGACTGAATCGCGACGAGACAACTGTTACAACATCATTCCATGCTGATCAACTTGCATTCGGTTGTGATACTTTTCCAGACCGAAATTTTTGAATGTGAAATGAAAATGCATGGAAATCTTGGCGATTAGATCGCGACGATTAAGTCGCGTGAAGTCTGACCAGGGCCCTACAGGGATGCCCCACTGATGAATTCATGTTGCTCTTGAGGTATAAATTTGAATTTATCAAACTAAGAGAGAAGTTTGTCACGAAGTATTTTCTCAAGGATTTTACATGGCACAGAGTTTATACTTATAGGTCTAAACTCCGTCACAGATTGAGGTTTTGGAACTTTCGGGACCGCTGTAACGATAGCCTTTCCAAATTTCTGGTATTTGCCCACATAGCAGACAAATATTGAAGACATGGGAAAGCAATATGGAAAGTTTTTTGGCGCAGCGTTTGTGGTCTGCCGTTAAAAGGCTCGAAAGTTGAGTGTTTTAGTCTTCTGAGAAAGCTTTCAACCACATAAGGCGTGATCATGGGGTTAGAACATGTATGGTTCAGAGATGGACCCAAGGTAATCATATTGGAGTTGGCCGAGGAAAATGTGCTTGAAAAATATTCAGCCAAAGCTTGCGCTTTGCACTTTAGTTAAGCAAGTATTGCCCAACGCGTCTTTCAAGTCACTATAGTTCGTAGTATGCGTTTTACGGTAGATGTAAAAAAAGAAGTTTTTGGAATGTCTAAACGATGCTAGGCGCTTGCCAAAAACTTTCTGAGATGGAAAGCAATATCCGAGCACACTTTCCTATACAATGGACTGTTGTAATGAGATGTGTTGAAAAGTCTTTCTTTTTGTAGGAGGAGTGACTGGATGTGTCTGGGGTATTTTCTTGACAAAGCATTGTACATGGTGCAGCAAAATCTATAGCATACACCGGATGGGTCTACGTAAAAGTTAAACATTGCTTTCCAGTCGATGCCACTTAGCTCACTTTTCATAGACTCAAAATCTATCTTGGAAAAAATGGGTATGGGCTGAGGTCACTTTTTGGGACGATGAAATTGTAATAAAATTCAATCACATTGTGATCAGAATTAGCAAAGGGCGGTTTAATGGATAAATTTCTAACTACTGAACGTCGGCTAGAACAAGGTCTAAGATGGCATCACCTCGTGTGGGCTTAGCAACAAATTGGCATAATTCTAATCTATCAAAAGTCTCAAGGAACTTGACGACATTTGAGGAACTCGCACCAAATGAATCTCGACTTGGGAGCGGGAGGTTAAAGTCCCCCACAATCAGAACGTTGGGTGTGCATAGGGTCAAAGCAGAGAGTAGATCGATGAGACAATCATCTGAATTAAATGCAGAATCAGGAGGATCTTGTAGAGAATAAAGGCAGAATAATGTAGAGAATACTTAACGAACAGTGTGTAGAATACTAGAATAACAGCAATACTGTGGTGAATGCTAGAATAATAGCAGAATTCAGAATAAATAGGAGCCTGGAAAAAGTTGGTCCGTTATTCATTTATCGTGGATCAATGCAAAGTCCGAGATACGGTATTTCCGAGAAACTCATCCGCCGCAGTAGGACGGAGCTTCGAGCGAACACGTTATTGCCAGTTCATGACTCCGCGCGCCACTAATACCAGCTATCTCATCTTGACATACAGTGACCGCCAAAAAGTTGCGAACAAGTCGTCTTCCTTCTTTCATAGCTCAGTTTCAGATGGAAAACAAGGACGAAAAAATGGTTGGATTGAATGGGCTGATAGAGCTCTTCAAGAGCTATAACCTACACGTTGCACTTTCTGGAAAACATGTATCCTAAAAATTGTAAAAATCTTTTTCTAAAGAAGTTCTGAAAATGGCCGCGTTGCGATGTCGCGGACAATAATTCTTCAAACGCAAAAATTTTCTTTTAGGTTTTTTTGGAGCAAAAACAAAAGTCTTCCGGACACGTAAGCATCATGACTTATAATAAGCGGCTTAATCTGAAGTGGTGTGGAGTTTGTCCGTTACGAAATTACAGTGAGGAATGATTTACGATACTAAACATCATGTGAGGTTAAGATAGCGAGTATGGTTCATTTTTAACTACGACTCACGTTGCAATAAACCGAACAATGATTTGAGAGACAAGCTCTCAGAAAGTGAGTTTATCACGGTTCACGATGCCAGTGCGAACCTCTGCGAAGCAGAGGTGAAGCACTGGTACTATATAATAGAGCTCATCGAGGACACAACCATTCTATTTTGTTTCTTTTCAAAAAATAACCTCTAATTCCCTGCTTCAAGCCAAGTTTCTTCACATGAGTACTCTGCGTTGATACCACTGCTT